TTCCTTCCTTCCTTCCTTCCTTCCTTCCTTCCTTCCTTCCTTCCTTCCTTCCTTCCTTCCTTCACTTCCTTCCTTCCTTCCCTCCCTTCCTCCCTCCTTCCCTTCCCTCCCTCCCTTCCTCCCTCCCTCCCTTCTTCTATTTATTCTTTTTACCCTTTGTAGAAAGCAGTCTACCCTCTTGCTCTTTACCCTCTAAGGAAAAATGGAAACATACAAAACAAAACTTTGGGAAGGCCAAATAATCCATACTGTAATGAATGTAGAATTTCATGTTATGCATTACAACAAAACTATTTTAGTTTAGTTTAGAATTTTTTTTTGTTTTTCTAAGTCCCCCCTGCTCCATGTTACAACAGTTAGTTGAAGAGCCAGGAAATGCTTTGAAATGCCACATAAAAATAACTGTGCAAATATAAGAGCAAAATATACTAATGAATTGATATGGATTTAATTAATAATGTTGCTTTAGAGCATGCTTTCTGTATAGAAGTTTTAGAAATTAATAACTAATTTTTGTGGTATTTTCAATATATTAAATTATATATTTCTGTATTTATTTATTTATTCATTTATTTTAGGCTTTTAAAACCAAGGATGGATATCTTGTGGTTGGAGCAGGAAATAACCAACAGTTTGCTACTGTGTGCAAGGTAATCTGTAATCACTGGGATGGGCGGATGATCTATGCAATAACTTGTTTTGTAGAAAGCCAGGGAAGTTCAGTTTCGCCTAGAACAATGTTGTTAAGTGTATAGCCAACTCAAGATCCCCTGCTTTCGCCCCTAACCGGGTGCCATTTTTACACTCGCAAATGCTAAGGACATGGTCTGAATTAGCATTCTGACTATATATATATATTTTTTTTGAGGTATCCGGCTGTATTTCGAGTTGAACCATAGTACATAGTAGCCTAAATTATCCACCAAAGGAACCTGACTACCAGTCCAATGAAAAAAGGGAAAGAAAAATAATTGATTTTAAAGGGATTTTTAATGCCAGGATATTTTTCTTCTTGCTTTCCTTTTTTTTTTATTTCTTTGTTAACAACATGAGATCTAATTAGGCTCAAATACAATGTAATACCAAATTTATTGTATTAGCCACTAGAAAACTAAACATTTTTTTTTTCAAATTAGCCTTTGTTTAATGAGTACCTTTCTGCAGAGTTCATGTTTTAATTTAAGGTTTAGCAATTAAGGTTATATTAAAAATGTTGCTCCTCAACAAGCTTTTTAAAAAAGGCCTTGGAATCATTAAGGATAATTTTATGTTGAAGATTTTAAGTTTTTGGCATCACTTGGATATTTTTTTTATTTGATGTTTTTACTACTTACCTAGATTTTTGTTTCTTTTTGTTTTTATTTGTCTTTAGGTTCTTGTTCACTTTTTCCAGTTCTAATCCCAGAAATATAATCTAGCTTTAAAAATCTGTATTTAAGGTTTTGTTTTAATTTCTCTTGCAGGTAGGGAGAGGTCTCACCTGCTGGGGATGTTTTTCTGATGGGGAGTTTATTTTCTTGCACTAATCATAGATAAGCACTCACTGTGAGCTTTCAGTTTCATTAAAGATGCCTGTGAATTCCTTAGGGCAGCCCTCTTTATTGCCGTTAACTTCTTATGTCCAAAAATTATTTATTACTGTGGCTCTTTTGTATGAGAGGTTAATGAGCACAGCGAAAAACCACAGCAAAGGGGTGGGAAGTACCACGGAGAAGGTGACAAATGGAGACAGTTCCTATTACAGGAAAGGCTGGGACAGCTGAGGTGGGAAAGAGGGGGAGCTTTCATAACGGTGACTCTGAGTAAGCGGAGAGAAAATGGATTCAAACATTTGATCTCGGATCAAAGAATCTTTATTATGAGCGGTCAATGTTAAAAATATGAAACATACGGAAGCCGTTGCCTGTGAAGTCATTTGCGTACTCTAGCTGCAGAGATGTAAAAGCCAGTTCATTGCTATAAATGAGTACAGATTTTCTTCCTGGGCCATATGTTTTGGAGTTTTCTCTCTCCAGAAAGGGGGGCGGGGGGGGGGAATTACTGGTTGACATATTCTTCACTGTTGAAAATAACTGTACTGAATTCTTCTTATTTTTGATTCATTACTGCTGATCAGTTTGAAACTTTTGAACTTCCTCATAAATATCCATAAGAACATTTTTTGAAAAAGATTTTTATTTCAAAGCAGAATATTTGCCATAAGTTTGAGTACTAAAATATGACTTATTGTGATGGTGTGTTATGATACATTTGTTTAAAAGGAGACCATCAGAGGGCTTTTGAGAATGGCATCCTTGACCTTGCTTTTCCATATGTGAGTTACGAACGATAATCCCTGCTATGAGCCCTTAAGACCATGTCTATCAAATTCTTTGAGATACTCATAAGAAAAATTTTATGCATAGAGGACTTTAATGTTATTTGCCTCATTTACTAGGCATCTTGAGCAAACCTTGCAATCTGATTGACTTTATATATCCTTAAATGTAAACATGCCCTAAAAACCTTTTAACCTAAGAAAAATGACCTGTTTCCTTATCCCATATATAGTGGGTTTCTTCTAAGTATTTTTTGTTCAGATTTATCTATTACTGAGGGGCTTGTCATTCAAACCGGCCTTGTAGAAGATGAGGGTCCCAGTTTTTTACAGTAAGCCCATCAATTGTTCTTTTGCCAAGCAAGGCCCATAATGAAAGATAGGGCAGCTCTATCTCCTAGGGAGAAATATAGCAGTATTGTCTGTGATGAATGAGTAGAATTTACTTAGGCCTAGTCTCTTTCCAAAATGGAATTTGATATAGTGGCTGGCTAATACTTCTTGGGGACGGGTCCTATTAAGGAGTTCTTATTGTCAGGAATTAGAGTGAGAGCCAGAGCAATGGGTTCAAGGTTTGGGGTTCAGAAAATTTTTCTGCATATAAAGTGAACCTTGGCTTAGAGCAAATCCTATTTTATGTCTCTTAACATGATACAGAAGAGTAGGGAACATAAGCATATGTAAGCTATTTTAAGCTGATTGATGCCAACACTAATGGGTATTCCTATTTGAAGTACATTGACATCCTTTTAAAAGTCATTTAGACTGAAAGTTTCTTTTATTAGAGGCAATATGCATTGGTTCTCAACTTTAGCATGCAGAAGAAGTCTCCTTGAGCTTCATTCCCAAAGATTTTGACTTAGTATGTCTGAGGTGAGGTACAGGAAACTTCGATTTTAATAAGCATTGTCGTTGATTTTGGAGCAGGTGGTCTGAGGACATTATAGCACACTTCTAAGGCATACCGTGAGTCTTGACACTAGTCAGGTGACCTCTGGCAAGACACTTAATCTTTGCTAATAAGCATCTGTGTTCTCACAGTAAAATGAAGATTATAATATATAACTCTCCTAATATATAACTTTTGGAGTTTTGTAAGAGTTAGATTAAATAAGTAAAATACTCAGTCCAGTCCTGGCTCACAGTTTGCACTTCATAAATGGCCTCTATAAAACTTAGGTTTGGAGATTCTGGTTCTGGGTAAGATAGAGTAAGCGTACTTCTCCCTATCTCTTCCACTGAACACAGTGATAAAACCTGGATACAATGCATGGAGCATCTCTAAGAGGATGCTGAAAAGTAAGTAGTAGGAGAACTGGGGAAGAACACCAGAATTTACAGTTCCTCTGAAAAAAAATAAAGTACCTCTAGGGCACCTGGGTGGCTCGGTCAGTTAAGCTTCTGCCTTCAGCTCAGGGCATGATCCCAGGGTCCTGGGATCCAGGCCTGCATCGGGCTCCCTGTTCAGCAGGGAGTCTGCTTGTCCCTCTTACTCTCCGTCTGTGCTCTCCCTCCCTCCCTCCCCCCCGCCGAATAAATAAATAAAATCTTAAAAAAAAAAGTACCTCTAAAGCAGCAGTAAGTTTACCAGTTTTTTCTACAGTGATTTCCTTACATGGATACAGTGGAGCCGAAAACATGGAAGTGGGCACTAGGAAACAGAGCTGAGCCCTAGGAGATGCCCTTCATTCCTGGAGTGAGGAGCACGAAAGTGAGCTCTAAGAGAGAGAGAGTGTGGAAATCCTGCATCTTTGCTTCCTGTCTGTTTTCTCATGCCATACTCCACAAACAACCCTGTGGTGGGAGCAGCAGATGAACAGGAATTAAAACTCGGAGGAAGGAGAACTTTTCCTCTTTATCTCTGAGCTGTGATCCCCAGAAAAGAGGGGTGAATCCTTGTGGCTTTTTCCTCTGGACCTCCTCCCTGGAAGTATGCTGGGAAGTAGGCTAACTATAGGGGAGCCCCAGGAAACCAGAGAGAGCCCGCAGAAAGGGATGAGCTTTGGAAAGTGAGCCTTGAAGGTGTTTGTGAACTCCTCCTCTCAGCCCTGAGCTGCACGTACCGCTGATCTGATCCTAACCAGCACACCAGAGAAGTTGCGAACTGAGTTAACCCACAGATGACTGCTCAGGAGGCAGCCTGACCATTAAGTGGGGCACATGCGGGATGGATTTGAACAGCACCACAAGGGCTTTGAGAACTGAACTAACACTTAGAACCAAAGCACAGAGAAGGTAGGTAGGGGCTTACAGCCTGGACCTAACCAGATCAATTGCTTGCTAAAAACAATAACAGTAAAATGTTGCTGTAGGACTTAAACAAGACCCAGAGGCTCATAATATAATATTTAAAACATCCAGGGTACAATCCAGAATTACTCAGCATATGAAGAACTAGAGCTTGCATGAGAAAAGACAGTCAATAATTGCCAAATGCCAAGAGGACACAGATGTTGGAATTAACTTACAAAGACTTTAAAACAGCTATTATAAAAATGCTCCACCAGGCATCACACATACTGTTGAAATAAATGGGAAAGGAGAAATGTCCAGCAAAGAAAGAGAAGATCTGAAGAAGAACCAATTAGAAACTGTAGAACCGAAAAATACGACCACCAGATAAAAAAAGAAACCCCTCACCGGATGAGCCCAGTGACACAACGGAGATGACAGAGGAGACAGTCAAGGAGCTTGAGGATAGATAAATAGAAATTATTCAATCTGAACAACAGAGAGGGGAAGAAAAGATGATCCCCTCCTAAGAAATGAAAGAAAGAAAGAACAGATCTTCAGGAGCCTGGGGGACAGTAACAAAAAGTAACACTGATGTCATTGTAATCCCAGGAGGAGAGAATGAAGAGTACATGCTGAAGAAATATTTGAAGACATAATTGCCGAAAACTTCCCAAACTTGGTGAAAGACAAAAACCTACAAATTTCATAATTTCAGCAAGCCCCAAATAAGATAGAGCCAAGTAAATCCATGCCTAAACACACCCAAGTCTTCCCACTGAAAACAAAGGACCAAGGCAAAAGTTTGGAAAGCACTCAGAGGAAAATAATATTACCTGTGGGGGAACACGGACTCAGCTGACTACAGATTTTTTTTTTTGTCAGAAACTGAGAACCCCGAGCCAAATGGCACCAAAAGGTCAACCCAGAACTCTTATGTACAGTAGAAACATTCACAGAAAATGAAGGTTCATTAAAGACATTCTCCCTCCCCCACTCCCTTCCTCCCTCTTTCCCGTCTGTCTTCTTTGAACAAACGCATACTTCATTATTTCTGTGGGGGGAAGTAGCACCTTGTTGGAATACTTCACGTGTATTTGGTGCTCAATATGTCAGGTACTTTCACTAACATCGCTTCATTCCACCCCAGGCGACACTTTTTCAAGCACGTGAGGGATGCTTATGATCACAGCACTGGAAGCAGTCTCTCTAGAAACATTGTGAACAACAGCATGGCTGAGGCCAGAACCAGAATTACTTTGACCCACTGTTTCATACCACCTTACACAGAGAGAAGAGGTCCGATGAGTCAGATGCAGAGAACATCCGAGGGCGTCCCGGTCACCACTGCGGACAATCACTGAGCAGCTTTTTATGCAGCTTATACTATTTCTGGGTGAGGCCAGATTTACGGGTTTAACCTGTGATTTGGTGAAGGCACTTGCTTCTTCTGGGAATGACTTACTCACTCCTAGGGAGGAGAGGGCAGGTTTCCATTCCTGGACAAGCCTGGGGGCTGCTTCTGGGATCACATGTGGTGACAGGGAGGTTTTCAGAAAGGGCACTCTATGTGGTGATGCTTTTTAAAATCTGGGGGAGTACTGCTGTCTTTATTATTCCTCAAGGAAACGAGTAAGTGAAGCCTGCGAAAGAGAAATGACACAGTGGAGATGCTCTCTTTACTCCAGGGGACCTCCTTCACTTTTCTGTCCTTTATGAGATGATTAATGGATTGATTTTATTTAAACTGTGGGAAACAAATGAAACCATTAAATGTTTATATTTCAAGCAAATACATTACTTGGGGTAGTGAAGCTTTCTGTAGGCCACATGGCCTGCCCCGAGCCCATAAATGCTCCTCTGACTTTCCAACATAACTGCCAAACACTGCCTCCACACATTCTTTATAAAACTTCTTTTCCATTCCAAATCCACTTGGTACTTTCATTATGGTCTTGTTAAAATTGCAAGATGTCCAAAGGGACTTGCAAGATAGATTTTCCCTTTATTGAGGAGGAGCAAAAGAGGAAGTATATAAAAGCATTTCTATTTGTTATTCCTTCAGGGAGACATATTAAAGAAAAATAGTGACACTTCTATAAGGAAGAATATCTTTTAATTTGACATTGTTTTAATGGTGAGCATTTGGGGCAAATGTATATGCTTTTCCTTATTTTAGCACCTTGTACAACATCCTGGATAGGGCTTCTGGGACAGATAATATTATTTTATTTACATGTGGAACAAATAAGTGGATGTACCTAAAGGATATATGTTGATGATGGCCTTCATGTAAGTGCAGACTTGTACTTATGATACTGGTTCTCAGAACTAGGTCAGTTTTATCCAGTTTTGTATCTCTCTACCTACTCTCTCTAGACAAGACTTATTATGGGGATCTGATAACTCTTGCTCGTGCTCCCATCTGTAGGCACATACTTAAATGTAGCAAAAACTTCTCATAAATGACAAACTCAGTCATAGCATTACCCATCCTGATTGCATGATCCTTCCGTCTCTATTCCTTTGTTGGTGGAATAGGTCTGGAAGTGTAAAGATCAGCAAGGAATGATCCTGGGGAGTGTATTGGTAGGCCTGGAATGATCGTACTCACAGGCAGGTACACGAAAACTTGTGAATTATACATTAAAATTATTTTTCCCCTTTAGATCTTGAATTTGCCTGAACTGATTGATGACTTCAAGTATAAAACTAACCACCTTCGTGTACAGAATAGAAAAGAGCTTATCAAAATACTCTCTGCACGGTAAGCTTGGATCTACTGTTGGTACATTTAAGAATGACTGTATCCTTAGCATTTGCCTGATTTGTGTGTGTGTGTGTGTGTGTGTGTGTTTTGCTTTTTTTAGATTAACTTGTAATTGTCTTCCATTTCACAGAATGGGTTAGTGGAAAGATATTTCAAAGCTATGTTTTTTTCTTTATTTGAAAGTTATTTTATGTGCCTTAATAAATAGTGACTCATAACAATGATATCAATAAGAAAAGTTACAATGGCCTGAAATAGATCGCTTTTCTGTAGCATGTGTTTGGGTTTAGTCTATTATAAATACCAGTAACAACAATAATTTAACATTTTTTTTACCTTTGCTGTTTAAATGCTCTACATACCTGATCCCATTTAATGCTTACAGTCATCCTGTGATGTAAATTCTATTCCCGTTTTACAGATGAGGAAACTGAGACAAAGAAAGTTTAAGTCGAAAGTTCTGTGAGGTTTGTCATGATGATGTTTTGAAAATGCCAGATTGAGTTATGGGTCATAAGGGATTAATGTTAATCAATCAGAGTATTTGATTTCCTGATTATTTCCTTCATGTCAGGTTATGCTTTTGTTAAAACCTGCATCAAACCTTTCAAGTTTCCCTCAGAGAAGGGTACTGATTCTTAATCTTTCCTACCAGTTTCACTTTTGTTTATGTCTAAACGTCTCTATATAGAGTAGCCGTTGTGGTTTTTGCCGGTTTAAATGCCCACATGAGCTGTTCTTCAGCGTGGAACATTTTTTTCCCCCCATCATGCCCATAAATGAAGGACTTTTGTTCCAATATCATGTCTTGTCTTTTGAAAGGGCCCTTGTCTTTCTCTGTAGTGTGTATCAAAGTTCTTAGACCATAAAATTCTGCTACTGTAATTTCTCTTTCTGTCCCCCTGGGACTTGGGCATCTTTGGGTGGATCGACAGCGTTCATTACCTATTTGCCTTTCCCTGGACTGCAGGCCGTTCTCTGAATTCCTTGTGCCCCTGGCTCTTTGATCAATGGGGGCTCTGTGTGGGGCTGATCTGCAGAGAACACGGGAACAAGGATGGGCTCTCCTGTCCTGGTGGTTGGTGAAGTATCAGTCTGATTCTACCACAGAGCCCAAGAGCCCTCAGTCATTAACCTTTCCCCACATGAGAATTGGCCATTTATTTCTGCTTTTTGCCTCTTTGCCTCTCCAGCAGTTTTTAATCCATTTAATTCATTGATAGGACTTTTTCCTTTCACACCACGGTTACCCAGTTTCAATAATAGGCATTTGTGAGAGCCTTATCAAAAGCTCTTTGATAGTCTAAATAAATCACATCCATGCTGTGAGAAGAGTGGACCCAAGAAAAATACAAAACCTCGGCAGATACAAGTGTCATCTTGTTCTTTAGATGCCAGCACTTTTATAACTACAAGAACCACAAAGTTAAGTTACTGGTGTCCAAGGCCCTGAAATGTTTATTCCTGGCTATATTCTATCCTAGAATTCTGCTGTGGAGAGACTTTTAGCAGCATCTGTAACACATTAATTTCTATTTTCTCTGTTTGGGGTGAATTAAATAATTTGCCACCTTTTTCTTTCTCCTCTTCTACATGCAGAAGTGGAAATTTCATCATTTTGGAACCCTGCAGGTTCTTATGTCTTTATTCAGATGTAACAAGGAATAAGGAATCGAATCCCGTGGAAGAGACGAGGGGTAGCCTGAAGAGAGGAAATTTGATAGGGGAGGTCACACTGTCCTAGGTCCTGCTGTTCAAACACAGACCACAGGGAGCCTGTGCTGCCCAGAGGTTGGCTTTCCTGCTCTCCGGTGTTAGCTTGTTGATGGTTTTTGGTGCTCTCCTGTGACCCACAGTTCTTCAGTCTCTGCCAGCTCAAGTCTCTTCCACCTGGTGGATCAAACAGTGATGAGCAGGGGAGATTAGGATGTGATTCGTTCCCATTTACAATACTGTCGTTTATTTTCCTGAGCAAACGTCACTGGATTCATTAGTACCGTTCAGTGCTCAACATTCAGAATTCTCTATGAAAGTGCAAACATGTATCATTTTCACAAGACGATTCTATATTTCCTATGAAATATTCAAAATGTTAAGTGGCTCTCGATTATAGGATTAAATCTGGTCTTTTTAGATCTGTTGTCATGGTCTTCTACAGCCTGATATGATCTTTTCTTTCCACCTTTTTCTCAGCGTAAAGCCCCTGCTAGGGCCGCACTCCCAGTCTGTGTCTTTTGTTCTCTGTCTGGAATGCTTCCCAGACTTACTATCATTTTGAAACACAGTCATGCTTCAGGGTCCGTCCTACAGCTTCAGGAAACCATCCTCAGATGTCTCTGTTTGGGGTCCCGGTCAGATGACAACACTTTCAGAAAAGAAGAGACATCTTTCCACTCCTCAGCTCCAGCTTCCCAGTTATCAGACTGAAACAGGATCTGCTTTACCTGTTGGGGATGGTGCTGTTCCACGTGTGCGGAACACACTGTTCCTTTCACTGGACAGCTGTCTCAGGACCTGTGAATCACAGACACACTAATGCCCAACCACAGAAAGGAGGCAGGGAGAAAGAAAGGTGAGGAACCAGCATTTATTAGATGCCTTGACTTACCAGAGAAATGTTATTAGTCCCACTTTACAGATGAGTATTCTGAAGTGTAGGCAGGTTAGTCTCAAGGTTCGACACACAGTGAATAGTTAGAATTTCAAAAGGCTGTGTTTCTTTTCCATATGTCCTATTGCCTCCCTAAAGTGGTACATGAAATGTTACTCCTTGTTTATTTACTCAATAAATATTTATTGAGCACTGGGGATAGAGAATTAGATGAGACAACGTAACTTGGTGACAAATAATGCGGGGAAGGAAAATGAAGAGTGCCAAAAGTTGGTTGTGAGGCTCGCTGTTCCACTGAAGCTGGTCAGGGAGGGCCTCTCTGATAATGTGACATTTGAGCAGGGTCCTGGAGGAGGTGAGGGAAGGGGCCTGCAGATAACTGGGAGAAGCTTGTTAGGCAGCAGGTGCATGGGTGGGAGTTTAAGGATAGCAAGAGGACAGTGAGCCTGGAGCTCGGTTGTCTAAAGGGAGAGTGGGGGGAGTGGGTCCAGAGAGAGAGAGAGAGAGGTGGGTCCAGGGAGGGAGTGTGGAGGGAGGTGGGTCCAGGGAGGGAGTGTGGAGGGAGGTGGGTCCAGGGAGGGAGTGTGGAGGGAGGTGGGTCCAGGGAGGGAGTGGGGAGGGAGGTGGGTCCAGGGAGGGAGTGTGGAGGGAGGTGGGTCCAGGGAGAGAGTGGGTGGAGGAGGTATTAAAGGAGGGGGTGGGTAGTGGGGGGGGGAAGCGGGTCTAGGGAGAGAGTGGGGGAGGTGGCCAGAAAATCATGTTGTAAAAGTTATGATGGACTTCATAATAGTTTCTTAAACTTGTGAGATAAAGGAATTATTTTCATCATAAAGTGAGTTTCTCAGCAACCGCTATTTTCTATCTAGCCTGAAGACATATTTTTTTTTAAAAAGATTTTATTTATTTATTTGAGAGAGAGAGAGAACAGAGGGAGAGTGAGGGGGAGAAGCAGGCTTCCCACTGAGCAGAGAGCCCAATGTGGGGCTCGATCCCAGGACCCCGGGATCATGACCTGAGCAAAGGCAGACCCTTCACTGACTGAGCCATCCAGGCACCCCTGAAAACACATTTTTTTCCAGTTTTATTGAGACATACTTGACATATGACATTTTATAGTTTAAGGTATACAACATAATGATTTGATATTTGTATATATTGCAAGATGATCATCGCAATCAGTTAACATCCATCACCTCACATAGTCACACAATTTTTTCTTAAGATAAGTTTTAAAATGTACTCTCTTAGCAACCTTCAAATACACAGCACTGTTAACTACAGTCACCTTGGTGTTTTCCTATGAAATCTATAGACTTTGTTTGAAAGCCTACCAGAAATGTCAGTCACTTACCTCACTTTTCTGTTATTCTTGCTAACTGCCGTCTGATGCTCCTTTCTGAGAGCTGCCAGGCTCATTTAGGAAGGCAGCCGCATGTTTTTGTCATCAGCTGAGTTGTCCACAGCCAGCACACACACAGTTCCCCTCAGGTGCTCTCAGGTGTTACTATTCCCCGACCGTGGCCATGAACAAGGTTTTTTTTTTTTTTCCCTTTTTTTTCTTTTTCTTTATTTCTTTTTTTTTAATTTAAAGGTGAAGACTTTTCCCTTGAGCTTGCCATTTTATCCAGGGTGTTGCAGAAAGTCTGTTTACCCAGCTGCGAAGACTGAAAACTGTGCAAAGCTAAAGCATGTTAAAAGTCCCCAGCTAAAACACAGAAGAGATATAATAGAGACTAGTCCAGGGCCCGTTAAAACAAACCCCTTCTTTCCAATGCCAGGGAGCAACGTCTCCTGAGCCTGTGCTACTCATGTCCTGGATCAGCATTTTTGCAATCGTAAGGACCTCAAGGGAGAGATTGAAAATCATAGTGTGTGTTAAAACCAAGAAGAGAAGGATAAAGACATAGTGTTGGGAGTTGGGGAGAAATAATAGGAAGACACGAAATGAGGAGGAAGGAAACGAGAAATGACGGGGAAAATAGAAATACAATTAGTTTTATTTCTCTCCCTTCCTTTCTTCACCATTACTGGCCACTGACCGTGTGCACTTGTCCTGAAGCGACAGAGATGGAGGAGGAGATCTGGGCTCTTGAGGGGTTCATAATCAAATTAGGAAAACAAACAAGTAAAGCAGTGGTTTAAGTAGTGTGTGCTGAGTGCCGTGGCAAACATACAGGGTGCCGAGAGCCTAGAGAAGGGACCATTACCTCAATGTGGTCAAGTCAGGGAAGGCTTCCTGGAGGTGGGTGCCACCTGAGATGGGTCTTAAAGGAAAAACAGAAGTTGGTGAAGAAAAAAGAAACCACAAAGGAGGAAATATTGGCCGGAGTGTAATTTCCTAGGGAGAAAACATGTCAAAGGAAAAGAAAAATAAAGTAGCTTGTAA